TTGCCGAAGTCAGCAGTGTGTTCGCAAGAAGTGAAAACGAAAAGTTTCCAAGAACTTAGTGATGCCATAACCAATTTAGGATCGACGCTAGCTACGAAATTGAGTGAGGCTTGGACATCGTCTTAAATGGACATTTATAGACACACATTGGGTGTTTCAGTGTAATTTTCTTCATGTTCCCTGAGTATTTCAAGTTATTCTTTTGCTGTGGTCAGCAAAAATAAAGTGGGGGAATATGTAAGAGTTGTATATTTTTTAAAACAAATTTTATGTATATATATAGAAAAGAAAAAAAAAAGTTTTTACCACGACTGGGATTTGAACCAGGGTTGTCGTGATTTGTTGTTCAAGGAGCTCTGCGTTAACCACTTGACCACTGCGGATTACGTTCAGTGTCATTGAAAAGATGTTACGTAATGAATATTTTTTTTATCTGTATACTCTCCAAATAATGCAACTAGGTATAATAGGTTTTGTGTAATTATTTCATAGTAATGAAAATATTGTAACTTATATTTCACATTATTTCCTTTAGAATATGATATTGGTTTTGAAAGAGAAGTTTTTGAGTTAATGTCAAAACGTGGTCATCATTGGTCATTGAGATTATTTTTCTCGTGTGCGCCATTTGTGAATTGTTTTTGTAACAAAGACTCCTGTAGAGAAGAACTTTATAGATCAGTCAATTCTACAGTGTCACACTAGTCTGTTTGTCTGTTGAGGACGTTCTGATGTACCAGTGTTTCCCTATCTGGGATCCATCACCTTTATTTATATCACCTGTATACTTGATGAATAAACGGTCAAGAGAGAATAAAAGAATCCTGTTTCTTACATGAACATCAGTATCTTGTGGATTTATTTTTATTAAACCTAATTCATAAGGTTGTCAAATAAGTTTAAAATCACACGACAAACACTGCTGGGGTAACAAAGAGGACACAATGGCGTTATTATTTTTCAATATAATTTCTAAAAACAAATAACTACACTTCGTTTGTCTTTATTTCCCATTAAAGTATTCCATATACTTAATTTTCTAATTTGTGCACTATTCACAAAACGTGAAATTTTAAAGAAATTAAACGACTAACGCCGTGTTATGTATTTTTACTGAAAAATGTATGGCGTCCCTTTCTCGTGAAATATAAATTACTCCTAATAGTTAGAGAGTGCAGTATAAGCGAGTCATAATTGTATATCTCTGCAATAATAGAATACCAAGTTGAACGTTATTATAAAGAAGAAAATAAAATAAGATTAAATAAATACACACGGGAAAACAGTTTGAAAATAGCCAATTGAAGGTATGTATCTTTTTTTAATGTCAATTTAGCATGAAATTTTTATTCAAAGACAACGTAAATTTTTTGATTGCATTTTAATCGATACAAAATATACTATTTTACTTTTATTTTATGCATTTGTGTGAAAATTGAGAGCGAGAAGTCATATGAACAGGATTTTCTGGGGGGGGGGGGGGGTTTGGGGGGGGGGGTATAAATAAAAGTCAAATGTGTACATCTTTTCATGAAGTTAAAATACATTGAATTTCTCAATATAGATCGAGGTACAGTCATATTGAAATATGAATTACATAGTCAAGTTTTCACATTTCTTATAGTTTTTACGTTTATGAAAATGTTAATGAACAAACTGAAATAATGGAGTGTTCAATTTCCTTGGAAACTCTTGTTTTACTTTTTGGGAATATAATTCCTCATCGGACATTAAAATTTCATAAAAATCGTGGCCACTTCCTTTCTTTATTACAATTGTATACTATTTGATAGACAGGGTAAATTTTACCTCTTTACATTCTATATTTTTTTTTATATCGCTATCTTATACCTCATTATAATATGCTAATACAACGCACTATCTGATTGGTTCTAGACAATATGTCACAGTTTTCTTTTAGTTATTTTATCTACGATACGTATTACTCATGGCAATAACTTTTCCTAATACTCATCTATAATGAAAAAATGTGTTTAAAAAATAAACATGAATTCTAGTTACTTGTAGTCTTATATTGTGTTAGAAAATAACAGGTTGCTTTTTGTTTACCTACAATGTATATGATTTTTATTTGATGTATAAATCTTCCCTACGATTAAAAATATATGACCGAGTTTAACTGACCGTGACATTCGAAGAGAGGTCTCTTGGACACATGTAGAACACAGTCGAGGTTGTTTTGTCAGAGGTGGTCAAGTTGCCTTTAGCCCCCCCCCCCCCCCCCCCCCCCCCCCCTTCTTCCTTTGAAGTCGCCAAGAAGTGGTAAAATATTGATGACTTAGCGAAATTAAACGATCAACAGTTATGTTCTCTCATAAGCTAAATTCCTGAAACTATCACTGTCTCTGCTAAAATGTTCAAGACATATTCTGCAAACATATTGAATGATAAATAAAAAAGAAAAGATTTTCAAAAAAAGAGAAAGAGGGTTCTTTTAGCAGAAATTTTAGACATTTTTATCATTACATTATTTATACATTCATAAATAAATTTGATTTTATGCACAAAATGAATGTGAAAGTAATTAATGACGCATAATTAGATACGATAGACAATCCCTTGTTTATACATGGCATCATATCTGGTGTGTGAAATGTCTTTCCGTATAATTTGATTTATTTACAAATTGTTCATGTTTGTCGTGTTGATGTGGAATTATTATAAATTCCCGAATTCTGATACTTTACAATTCTGTTGTGTTGGGAATGAACATTAGGAAGATGCATCTACTTTCAACAGAAGGAAAAATATAAAGCAAATCGAACACCTTTTTGTGTGCAGATCATGAAAAGTACTGAGCTCCACGGGTATTTGTTGTCCCGAGCGCATTAATCTTGACGCCCAAATTCTTACTTGGCTAGTGATACCTTTAGAAAACATGTGTATCTAGAAGAAAGTTAACTCGGCAACATGCGCCATCCCATTGTTTAAGTTTTATTAGGTGATTACACCTCCTATACCCGATTTCGCGGATTCAACGATACCCTAATCACCCGTACTAATGTTATTGTGATTTAAATTCAAGACACGTGGTTTAGGTTGATCTATTCAAAGGTTATAGGGTAGAACCGGTTTTATAAATAAAATTGGCAGTAAACATGACATTGCTATAGCCTGTTTCTTTTGAAAACATGTCCTGTAATAAATGTTTCCAGACCTTTCTGAAAGACTTTCATGATTTTCAACAGAAAAAGGGTGGCTAAAGAAGGGGTTGCTAAAATAACAATATATCTTATATACTTTTCGGCCAAAATTAGAGCTCACTAGTGACCGATTCGCTGGTAAAAAATGTGCACTATCATCCACACTGACAAACGTTTGATTGCCTTATATGGCTATTGTTATAAATGCGCACAGAGGGTCTTACCACGAGGAACTGACCAATCGTTGAATGAATAGCAACGTTTACGCCAAATACATGTTTACATTTTACTTCGAACACGTAATTCAGGTCAATCTACGATCATGTTAATGGACTGCAAAAAAAAAAATGTTCTTACAAACAAAATACAAAGATAAGAAACTATGAAAGATGTTACGGGCGTTTTTAATTTGTTGTTAAGGTCAGACGAGACGTTCCTCAAAATCTGTTTTGTATATCTTCGTAATGTATGAAAAATATTCAAAATTTTAATTACATTCTGATTTCTAAACCAGTTTCTAAACATCTTTAAAGAATCCAGACACTTAAACATTTGAAATTGGAAAATTATTTTTCCCCCCAAAAGGATTATATAAGAAAAACTACCCCTGGTATCTTGCAGAAATACCTGGTAAGGTACCTCAAATTTTTGTGAGTAAACATGTTAAAGTAGCAATACTTCAATGACACAATCTTGGAAAATTTTATCTATTATTAAGGAACGTCTCGTCTGTCCTTAAATGGAAAAAAATGTTTAATAAAATATAGTTTGCGTCTAGTTCAGAACACCAGCGCTTCAAGGGTCAGGAAAACAAGCAGCATCTCTTATGTATTTAAATGGACAAAACTTTGTTTATGTTCGTGATCACGTGTTCGGCCAGGGAATTCAGCTGGTAATTGTATTCACCGATAGTACAACAAAGGAATTAATACAGACGAAAATCGCTTTTGGAGTATGACTTTCAGAAACCTAGACTTCCGCCGTTTATTTAAGTAATGAATTGTTTGTCATTATGAGCATGAAAATAATATTTTTAAAAAAGCTTTTCATTTACCAAAATGTTTTTCTTTTTTCAAGCGTAAAATTCCTGTAGTATTCGTAGTAACCCATAATGCAATACTCATTTAGCTGATTGGTCAGTTAAATTCATGCTGGTGCCTCATTTGCTAATCTGACGCCAAAAATTATAGTCCCGGTTCCCATGCAAAAATATTTGCCCAAAAAGAAATTTTAATTCATGACTGCAGAAAATTGTATTATAGAGAATACTTATTTAGGTTTGAATGAATATAAAAGAGATCGATTGATTGAAGTACATTTCTACAGATATTATCAGCTGATTCTTGGGTGGTGAAAACTGAAACGCAACATAACTTTTCTGTTTACCATGCCTCCACGTGCTAGTCACTTCCTAGCCACATTTCCGTGAATAATTTACCCTATCTCGCTGAAGTCTCGCTAACTCTCGCCAGAGCCACTGCCAGAGCTACTCTGAACTCATCGGGTTTTATAATTTGCAGAACACCGAAAAATAAAAGGTTCCGAACACATTAGTAGGGGTGCTAATATCGAGTATTATACGCGATTTCACGGATAATACCCGATTTCGAGTATTCTCTCCGACCTGTTAAAAGCACATCCAAAAGACACTGATTAGAATGGAGCTCTGCTGATCTTAACTTAAGCATTTTTAAATTGGGGAAAATTGCACTCTGGAAACAAGAATTCCCGGGGGCAACAGTGTTCACCTGAGTACCCATATTTAAAACATTCTAAACATTATACCTGCCTCCTTCACATTTCTAGTCCTCTAACCACATCTTTCACATTTCTTACCTGCATCCTTCACATATCTGCATTCCTCCTGCCATTTAATTCCACTACTAAAATTCTTATCATTGATGGCTGCCACACCAAATATGACATCATCCAGAGCTTGACTAATCATGTCTGCCTTCAGAACTGTGTGATTCATATTCCCCAGTCTTCTAAGTATATGTATTTCATCCTGAATAAAGAATTATTAAATTTCAAGTTCAATTATGAATACTGTAGATGTACTATTTTCAATGGGGTCATATTTCCGCCGAATCTCAATTTCTGTTTAATGTGCAGGTAGAAAATTACGCGGATTTCTTAAGACTGTCACTGTATGCCTAACATTTATATTAAATACGCTGGAACAAATTTCTGCGGAAAATTTATAACCGTTTACATAGCATCAATTAATACCATGCAGAAAAAAGTACTTCTACAGTATATGATCAAAGAAAGTCAAAGAAAAACATTTTCTAACATGATATTTGGCATGGTTAAATAAAATTGGTTCTAAAGGTAATTTACATCCACTATGAGGTACATTTGTACAGCGCAGTCCATAGCAAATTTTTGTACATTTTCTATTTATCTAAATAAAAATTTCGAGATGCAGAAAATACCTGTGGTAGACTAAAATCCACGCTGCCCTTAATTTTCTACAAATGATCTTTTTAGATATATCTTATATATTACCTGACACTGCAGCACTGCTGGTTTGACTTTGCACCACACCACATCAGTAGCAACAATGGCCTCCCTCTCCAACCCAAACCAGGACAGCTGCACCTCTGATTGTCCCTTCTGTTCTACTATAACTCTTTCTGGGGACACTACAGCTAGTTAAAACATAGGTATATGATAAAAAAAATTACAATGTTCAATTCAAGGAATGTAATCTTTTAAATTAGGCACCAAACAAATATTCGGGTAATGACTGTATCCTTATATAGATGCAACATTTATTCAGGTTTTATGTGTTTTTGAAACACTGATGCCCCTGAGTGGCAGCTTATGACAAATACAAGTCAAATGCCAAAGTCAAGGGATCAAAAACATTGTTAACAAAGGAAAAGTTTTGACTCAAGGAATAAAATGTGAATTATGAAAGCCCTTGCAAGAACTTTTCAACAGTAATGGGGAAAATAGTTTTTTTTCAAAAGCAAAGTGAACCTTAAATGTCAAAGTAAAAATTAATGGTGCCAAACAGAAGACCTTGTCACAAGAAGTGGAATATGAAACCAAATCAACAACCATTCAAAAGTTATGGTCAATGTTAAAGTTTTTAAGATAGATCAAACTTCAAAGTCAAGGTCAAAAGACTGAAATTGTTGGCTTTAAGGTCTTGTGGTGCCAAAGGCAAGATCATTCCACAATATATACACTTGTGAAACAGGAAAGCCCTTGCACTAATCATTCAAAAATTACAGCCAAGTTTAACATTTTTTTCAAAAGTACACCTAGGTCAAACTGTTGGTCCCAAGGAAAGAAATACACATGAAATTAAAAGACCTAGCAACAATCCTAAAAAAACTTCTTGCCAAAATCAGTTTGTTTCAAGAAGATCAAGGTCAAAATTGTTGGTACCCAAGGAAATGTCCTTTGACAATGAATACCCAGATGAGTTAAATAAAATTTGCAAAAGTGGCTCAAAATCCAAGGTTTAAAATAAAAAATGTAAAAAGTTGATTCCCATGCAAGAAAAGGTCTTTTCTCAAGGAATACACAGGTGAAATAAGAAAGTTATGGCTCCAATCAATCAAAAGGTATGGGCAAGGTTAAAGTTTTTTTTAGACAAAAGTAGGGGACATAAAATTGTATCTTTGTATATACTTCAGCAAAGTGAGAGTGATATAAAGTTTTTCAAATACCTTAAATCAATATGAATAAATAGCTTAGTAGCTGATTTCTTTTGA